TGTGGGACAGCAAGCTTTAATATTTAAATGTATCTGGTTTAAAGTTTCAGAGCTCTCCTGTGCAGTCATAATTTTGGAGAGCGCACGCAGCCGTAACATTATTAACTTGAACTGAAAGCAGGCTAAGGAAAGCCTGAACACTGTTCATTGTAAACCTCTTGGGTCGATTATTTATCGAAGCTGCATCAAGCTACACAGAGTAGGTGAGAGCTAGAAGTCCGGCACAAGAGCAGCATTAGCATTCATGTCAATTTTCAAAATAAAAGACCAGGTCCAGATTAAACGCTCCACTTTTGAACAGCTTCTGGTGGGATTTCAAATTGTAAGGAGGACGGAACCAAATTCCATCAGAGACGCACAGAAAGCAGGAGACAGGAGGAGGTTTTAACTATTTATTGACGAACTCACACTTAATGGAGTAAATAAGGACAGTTATGGTGTTTACCTAAGGCAGGTGTGACGTGTGCAGCACATAACAGTATTAATGAGCTCAGTTTGGCCCCAATAACAGCGAGAAACAAACAGTAATAATCACCAAAACAAAGACTGTTTATGTCTGCGTGAGCAAACCTGAGGCATTGCAAATTACACTGCTTCCTCTTTACGTGCTACAAACTAACCACGCTCGCCTCTGTGTTGCACATTAGCCCTGCTTTCGTCTGTGTGCTACATAATAATCCTAACTCACTTCTGCATTTTGCAAGAAGTTCTGCTTACTTTGTCATGCTACAAAGTTACCACAAACCTCTCGACAACTAACCCCACTCACTGTGGGGTTAGTTGTCACTGTGGGCCTGTACGTTGCTAACGTACAGGCCCTGTCCAAAAAATTTGAATATCATGGAAAAGTTTATTTATTTCCATAATTTCATTCAAAACTTTAAACTTTCATAGAGTGTAGATTCAGGGCCCACGACTTAAACGATTTCAAGTACTTAGTTGTTCATTTGTACATAATAAACCCACGAATACAGGATTTGAAAAAATGAGAATACTGTGAAGACATCACCATTTACTTCTCAGTCTTTGCAGGAAAAAAAGAAAAAATTTGGATCAAATCAGTCAAAATGTGGTATTTTCAAAATGATATGTTAATCTTTAATACTTGGTTGGGAATCCCGTCGCCTGAATCACTGCTTCGATGCGCCGTGGCGTTGATGCAGTCGGCCTGTGGCGTTGCCTGGCAGTTATGGAAGCCCGGGTGTTCTTGATGCTTGCTGACGGCTCTTCTTTGTTTTGTTCTGGTGGACCTCATTTTCCTCTTGATACCCCACAGATTCTCAATGGGGTTTAGGTCCGGCGAGTAGGCTGGCCAGTCAAGCACTGTGATGGCATGGCAATCAAACCAGGTTTTGGTGCTTCTGGTGGTATGTGCAGGGGCCAGGTCCTGCTGGAAGATGAAATCTGCATCTCCATACAGATCCTCAGCAGAAGGAATCATGAAGCCCTCTAAAACATTCTGGTACACTGTTGTGGTGACCTTGGATTTAAGAAAGCAGAGTTTACCAATACCTGCACCGGACATTGCACCCCAAAACATGACTGACTGTGGATATTTCACACTGGATCTCAAGCAGCATGGGTTCTGTTTCTCACCCGTCTTCCTCCAAACCCTTGGACCTTGATTCCTGAATGAAAGGCACACTTTACTTTCATCAGAAAAGAGGACCTTTGACCACTGGCCAACAGTCCAGTCCATCTTCTCCTTGGCCCAGTTGAGTCGCTTCTGACGTTGGCTCAGGTGCAGAAGTGGTTTTGAAGCTTTGACTCCTGCCTCATTCCACCCTTTCTGGATCTCTGACAGATTCTTGAATCTTCTGTCTGATAATCTGCTGAAAGCCCCCGTCATCTCTTCTGCTGGTGCATCTTCTACTGCCACATTTTGCCCTTCCTCTGGACTTTCCATTGATATGCTTGGACACAGCACTCTGTGAACAGCCAGGCTCCTTAGCTATGAACCTTTGTGGCTTACCCATCCTATGGAGGGTTCCAATGATGCTCTTCTGGCCTGTTGTCAAGTCTGAAGTCGTCCCCATATTGAACCTAACTGAGGCAATTGGGTCAAAGTGAAACAATTTAGTGACACTTGGGAAACCCTGTGCAGGTGCTTTGAGTTTAGTAGATGAGTTTGTGGGTTTATTATGTACAAATAAACAACAGTACTTCAAATTATTTAAGTTGTGGGCCCTGACTCTATAATCTATGAAAGTCATGAAAGGAATTATGGAAATAAATAAACTTTTCCATGATATTCAAATTTTTTGGAAAGGGTCTGTATACTCACGTTATTTGTTGAGTTGTTTTTTTGTTAATCTGAGGTGAATTTAG